TTGCGTTGTGCTCAAAGTTAAAAGCTCAAGAATGCTTAGGTTTGCTGAAGCGATTGTCATTAGCCGTTTAAAGCCTGACCTATGCGTGCAAAAGGCCTTTGTTATGCAGTTATTACCNGTCGAACATTTTTTTTACTCGGTGAACTTTCTGCGTCTATTCGAATTCATCTCTGGTTGCATCTTTTTCGTATTACGTAACCATGTCTAACTCTCTTTCCACCATTGCTAATCGGTTTCCATTACGTAACTGTTTTCTATGCTAACATTCCCCACCCCTCCTCTTCTACTCATACTCAAATGACTTTGGTAATGACTCAACCACTCAGTGCCTTCTGCTTGACCCCATGTAATTGTAAATGTCCATATATGGTATTCTTATGATAAAATTTGACCTATTTAATCTGCGTAGACAGCTGACTGAGAGCAGGCGAAATTGATGGTCAATATCAATTCTGCTCAAATTGTGTTACTTGTTTTATTCAAAGAGTCCATTTAAGTAAGAAAAATTCAGATTGCACTTTGCAAAAGAAATTATTGGTTCCGACATATTTAACAAAAAGATCCAAACAGAGACGATCAAACACCAAAAATGAACAATGCAAATCACAGAATGCACAATCTACCTACCAACTAACAGCACTCCATCACCCTTACCAACAATTGTAGTTTAAATCGCAATGCTAATCATGTACACCATCCTCTCCAATCTTCTTCCCGCTTGGCTTTATTTTGACTGAGACACAAACCCCTCCCTAGTCAGACAGTATTCATCTTTAGTTCCCTAATTACTTCCAACATTCTTCTTTTCTTTCCATAGCTGGTGTCTGCGCCCATATCCATCATTCTGTCGCTTCTTTCCGACTTTCGCACCTAGATTTTTGCCAACCACGAATTTTGGCTTATGTGGTTGAAACGGCGGTTCCCTCCTTTCACCCACTATTTTTGTACTGTTGGCCGCCTCCCGAGCATCAGCAATCCTATTTTTATATTCTGTCTTCCAACATTGAAACATTAATGGCGTCGGATCCTAGCAGCCAAATTACGACTGTCGGAGCTTTCAATGTTCATAACAAGGAACGATTGAAGCAGTCGTCAGACACTTCGTACATGGGACGCGAAAACGAGGATTTTCTCCCAACACCCTGGACCTCATTCCCGCATCCATTCCCTCTAATTTCTCCAACATCACTTCGCCTTCCTCATCGGACCATTACCTCATTTCCTTTCTCACTCATTTCTCTCAACCTATTTTCATCAACTAATTCCTGACGCGCTTTTTGGTGCTACGATTCAACCACCTGGGACGGCTTTCGTAACTCGGATCTGTTACCCCTGAAAGAATAGTTGTTTCACATCTGATATTTCCTCTTCTGCATCGAACTTCACAG